TCAGCAGTGATAACATCCAGCTGTTCATCTCATAAACAACAGAAACCACTGACTCCTCCAGCTGTAACTACATATGATGGCATAGTGTCATGAAAGAACTTAATGTTCTCACATAAATGAAGCACTTGTTTATTGTTGTGAGGTTGAAACTACATGTTACAGCACACTGTCTCTTTATTTGAGTGGCCAAACCCACTTCTAAGAGTTTGAGATGCATAAAGAGTGTGGAGTGAATAACTAATATCAAAGGACAAATGCATAAAAGAACAATTATCTGCACGATACATTCATAATTTGAATGTATCATCATTAAAGAGGGGTGGGGATGCTAAGTAATAACTAATGAGCTATACTGCCATATTAACTTTTCTCCTTTGGTATTCGTATTTGTGTTTATGCTCCATTAGATCATAGTAGATATGGTGGCTGTTCACACCATGCCAGGTATGGTGGGAGGTATCTTCCAGTTTAAGAATACATGCATGCTCAGGATGAGGGATTTCTACAAAGTCAACAACTCAGTGCCAACCAGAGTTCAGCGTTACAACATGCTTATCCAGGATTGAATGCTGTTCCAGTCAGTGACTCGGTTCAATCTGCAGAACTTATTATGAGAATGTTATAACGATTTTCTATGATAACCTGAATTTGACGGCCTTGTTTGATAATTAGGATCAACTTTGAATCTACATTGTATTTTGGCCTTGGAACCTGTCTGTAATTTGATTGAATTTACATTTTTAAGCGCCTTGAAACATTTGTTGTCAATTGGCATGATAAATAAATGTCGGAATTTAATTAAAATGTTTTAGTTAAAGGTTAGTTAACTGTTTGCTGTTCTAGGATTCCTATTTTTAGAAATAATAAACTTTTAAGACAGAGCAGCCTTAGCAGATAGGCTTAATGAGCTTCTAATTCTGCAGCTCTCTTATAATACGACTATAGGAGGCGCTGTTCTCTATCTGCACCTTCCTATTTATATTGTTTTCAATTTCTTTTCTCAATATTCAGATTCTCAATCATATATGGAAATAACTTCCCTGACAGTAATTCAATTTAGTGGACAAGCTGAATTCTTTACTATTTAGTAATAGGTTTTATGTTTGAATATATTTTTAATATAGAAATAAAGTAATTTATGATCAAATTAAAATAATTTTTTTTCAAACAAAGTAGAATTTTATTTCTTTAGTTATTTTACAAAAAGAAATCTAAAGAAACTATTTGGAAACAAAACACTAAACCTTTTTTTAAGCAGCAGTAAAAGATGAGTCTTTTAAACTTGAAGAAACTGTAAAGAATCAGTTATTATGCTATAGGTCAAAAAAAGTAAATGTATTATGTGGATAAAATCAGTATTTACTTACATATGGGGTTGGAGATTGCTGGCAGTTGTGTAGCCGAATAAATAAGCTTCTTTAATAAATACTAAATAAAAAGAAAATAAAAAGATATCCATTTCCTCTTCCAGGACGTTTTCTCAGTCTATTTTTTTTTCCTTAAAGTTCATTTAGGAGCATACTTCAGTTTAACTAATTAGTCACCACCAGAACATAAAAATCCAAATCCTCCACCTAAAGAAAGTTCCAATCAGCGTAAAAGTTGGTCCACGCAGGAAATCGGCAAACCATCCCAGCGTCCCTTCTTCTGCTCAAAGCTGGTGTTTGGCACTGAAGGGAAACTTTGCAGCTCACCTATAACTCGTGTCTGCAGCTGCTGAAATGAGGGATAAAACCTCCCACAGGATGGCTCTGCACGTTCCTCTCACTGGGCTGTTTGGAGAGGGTCGCGTTCTATCCAAACCTTGCATTCTGGGAAAGTCACAGGAGATGTGCGCACAAGTGGGGATCAGATCAGAGATCCCAGTAGAAGTGAAATAAAAACTTTTACAGTCAGTTTTGGGAATCATTTACACAAATGCATTGTTTCTTTCCTCAGGAAAAACAATCCCCCTCGCCTCAGAAGCTCTATATGGTCGTGGATCGTGCGCGTATCCAAGACTTTGCGCGTACTGGTTCGCACGATTTAGAATGAAGGTATAGTGAAACGGTGTCTCTATCAAGCTTAAAGTTTGGGGGATATTTGCGGCTGCAGCAGTGGGAAGTCTGCAGCATAAAACAGCTGATGGAGCAGAGAAAGGGTCAAGAATCTTATCTGGTCACTGCTGCTCTCCAAACAAAGTCTGCATTGCCATCATAGGTGTTCATGACCCAGAAGATTCCCGGGTCAGAACAGCTTTACCAGCTTTCTGCCAGCAGTGTTCTGAGGTCTGATTATATATATATATATATATATATATATATATATATATATATATATATATATATGAATTTAATATATGCACAAAAGCTAAATGAGGATAAGGATTGTATATTGAAGAACAATGATTAAGATACCTGTAAATCACTAACAAATAAACAGAAAGTTCTATAATTGTTTTAAAATAGTAAAACTCCTATATTCATTTCAAGCTGAGCTTCTAGACCATATTTACCAGGGGTCTAAGGTTTTTTCTTCTTTCATTGGGGCACATAACAAAAGATTAACACACACACACACACAAAGGGGGAATTATATCACTTAGTATATTAGGTGAGCCAGGAAGCCAACCCTTAGCAAAAAGTAGTTTATTCAAGTATACTAAAAGTGCACTAATTTCATACTTAAAACCAGGCAGTGCACTAGTTTACTTATTCTAAACTATATTTCATATACTTAACAATAGTATAGTCAAGTGTACTTGACTATACTATTGTTTACTCTATTGTTTACTAAAGTATACTTAAAGTATACTTTAGTAAACTTAAAATGTCCAAATTTAGTTCGAATAAGTAATACTTCAAGTACACTAATAGTACATTGGTTGGTATACTTTCTAAACTTATACTTAAGTATTCTTAATATAACATACTTCGATACTTTTTGCTAAGGGAAGGGTGCAGACCCATGATATAACATGAAAGCTGTGGTCCTATCTTAATATGACTGAAGCCTAAAGTAAAATTTCTGAATTTCTACATAATTTATTAAGTTAATTGTAAAGATAAAAGATTAAATAGGTGTAATGAGACATCGAGTCTGATTTTTTTACATTTGTATTTCCATTAATGCTAAAATTTTAACTTCAAGTGTATTAGATGATGAGACCAATAATTTTTTTTTTCAAGACAGAAATGTTTAAGCCATATAATTTAATTCAATTCAGTTTATTTATATAGCGCCAATTCACAACACATGTCATCTCAAGGCACTTTACAGTTCAACCAGATCATACAGTCAAATTGATTCGAAGTTTTCTATCTAAGGAAAACCAGTTGATTGTATCGATTCTTTGACTCGAAGGCAATTCCTCACACCTAGCATGCTTGCAGCAACAGTGGAGAGGAAAAACTCCCTTTAACCGGAAGAAATCTCCAGCAGAACCAGACTCGTGTGAGGGGCCATCTGCCGAGGTCGACTGGGGTTTTAGAGAGACAGAAGCAGACACACAGTAAGAAGCAGAGATACAAAAGGCAACTGTAAACCAGGTCCATAGGCAACCCTGTCCAGGAAACACACAGCCAGGCAGACGAGCTCCAAGCCAGCTCCCATATCAGAGGATGAAGAGAGCACATCCAACCAGTCACAGTCAGAGAAACAGGACTACTCTAAAACACAGACTGATCTCGAACCTCTATAAACAGAGGTGTTGATGGCAGCAGCACAGCTGATATTTCTCCAGGATGGTGTCACAGTCAAACAAGAGCAGACCAGATGAAGCTACTATGAGAAAAAGGAGAGAGAGCATAACATAAGAGATTGAGATTGGGAGAATAAAGATAGAATGAAGCAGAATGATGAAAAAGGGGTCCCTATGTCCCCCAGCAGTCTAAGCCTATAGCAGTATAACTATAGATATAGCTCAGGATAACTATAAGCTTTAGCAAAAAGGAAATCATGACCTACACAACTGTGGAGACAACTGGAGAAATTATGGATAACCGCAGCTTTGATTAAATAATAGCAACACCCATGGATGAATTAATGACCTTAGGTCAGACAAACCAGTGGGGAAAAAAACAAGTTTATATTGTATTTAATGACATATATAATGTATAATTAGTGCTTATGTCTTAAAAGAGTTTAGGGTTGTTTTGCAAGGAATGGACTGCAGCCACCCTACAAATATCTCCAATACATTTTATGGTGTCACTGTGATTGATTGGCCATCAAACTCCATGACCAAAATCTCATATAGAACCAACTGCACAGATGGAGTAAGCTAAATTGATACAGGTCCATAGGCTTTTTCCAATTCAGTAACATTCAGAATTTTTGAGAAACTCATTTTTTTGGGTTTTCATTGTGTGTAACGTCAATTATCTAACTTATAATTTAGCTGGAAAGCCATTAGAAATATTAATCAACACTTCAAAGCAAAAATGATAAATTAATCATTATAATAATGGTTTACTAAATTAGAAATTTACTCCATTAATTGGAGTATGGGTTTGTCTGTAATTGTTTTCTATCTGCAACTACTTTAGTGGTGCAATTTTAGCTTCAGTTAGTTTATATTCTGTGTAAAGCTTACTACTAAGCATGTTTCCATTCCAACTATTTATTGTTTACTTGAAAAATACCGTCAACAGATTAAATTGGATTAAACTGGGCTGTCCATCAGAGACTGTTTGTGTGGCGTGTCTAAAACAAAGATTTGCCGCCACCTTGTGTTCCGAAATATGTACTACAACTATACGACGCAAACAGATAAAAGAGAGAAAAAGCTAAAAGAGCTGAACAAATATTTACATGAGTCTGAAACTACAGGAAGTGGTCATAAAGCGAACCTTGGTCCTTTTTTTTTTATGAGTAACCTTGAAAGCACAGAGCCGCTGAACAAGCAGGTGGTAAAATTTACACGGAATTATTTGCGTTTCTTCACCGACAGGGTAATTTTGCGACGCTCCCTTATTATCCAACCTTTGCCCTTCGTCATAGGCTAGCTGCGGTACTGTAGCATGCTGTGGGCAATAACAGGCGCACTCTGCACTGTCAGGCGAGCCAACAACATAAGAACTCTCCTCGTTCCTCTCAGAAACATGTCTTCATCCCCACTTAAACGGCCTGTCACCCTGCTGGGAACCATGGCGTTCGGGGGACGAGCCGACGCCGAGCAGAGCAGAGGGATGGTGAAAGCTTTCCTGGACAGGGGGCACAGCCACCTGGACACAGCCTTCATGTATGTGGATGGGAAGTCGGAGGCCATCATAGGGGACATGAACCTTCCTAAAACAGGTAGACTGTAGGCATTTATCACACCAATGCAAGCTGAGTTTTTAAAGTCACACAACTAGATTATTTATGCTGAATTTAACAAAAAAAAGAAAGAAAAATCTGTCGAAAGAAAACAACAGGCTGCATTTCCAGACACTTATTTGCAAACAGAAAACAGCAGAAAAAAACTCTTGAAGAAAATGTTGTAGTTTTTTCTATGACCACAGGGTGGCAGTAACCTACCATTTTTATCAAAAGCCCTCTCTAGCCATTTTATTTCTGTATTTGGTAAATAAATCAACGCAAACTAACAGGGGCAGAGCTAGATGGGGGGCCAGGACCTTAGCCAATCATTGTCCCCCCCGTGGCCACCCCTGCCATATATACAGGGGTTCTGCGGCTCATTAAAAGTCATCAAATTA